ACAATGTTGCGGCGCCAAATGTCCTATCGGTTTGAAGATCAAGATTCTTCGTCTATGGCCTTGCGGGTTGGCTTCAATGTTTTAATTTGGTTTGTTTTCTATTTTATTTTAATCATATTTAACACCTTTCGTTCTTTTTAACCACAGATGAATCGTCGATTTTCTCGGGTGGAGTCCGGCACGGACCTGAAGGATTACTTCGATCGCGGCGATAATGCATCGCGCGAGAATCGCTGGAACTTTGAGGTCGCCTGGGAAGTGGCCAACAAGGTTGGCGGCATTTACACGGTGATACGCTCCAAAGCCTATGTATCCACAGAGGAGATGGGCGAGCAGCTGTGCATGATGGGCCCCTACAAGGAACATTGTGCACGCACCGAAATGGAGGAAATTGAATTTCCACGTGGCAATCCGCTGCTGGATGCGGTGAATACGTTACGCTCGAGAGGCTACAAAATTCACACCGGTCGGTGGCTCGTCGATGGCAATCCCCAGTTGATACTGTTTGACATTGGCTCTGCCGCCTGGAAATTGGATCAGTTCAAGTCCGAGATGTGGGAGAAGTGTAACATTGGCGTGCCCCATTTAGATATAGAGACGAACGATGCCATTATTCTAGGCTTCATGATTGCTGAGTTCCTGGAGGAGTTCCGTAACTGTGCCATCGCCTTCTCCCAGAACAATGATCTGAACCCACCACGCATTGTCGCCCACTTTCATGAGTGGCAGGCCGGCGTGGGTCTGATAGTGTTGCGCACACGACTCATTGAGATCGCTACCGTGTTCACCACGCATGCCACTCTCCTGGGTCGCTACCTGTGCGCTGGCAATACCGATTTCTACAACAATCTCGACAAGTTTGCTGTGGACGAGGAGGCCGGCAAGCGTCAAATATATCATCGCTATTGTATGGAGCGTGGCGCCACGCATTTGGCGCATGTCTTTACCACTGTCTCGGAAATCACAGGCTACGAGGCGGAGCATCTGCTCAAACGTAAGCCGGACATCATAACGCCCAATGGCCTGAATGTCAAAAAGTTTTCGGCCATTCATGAGTTCCAGAATTTGCATGCCGTTGCCAAGGAGAAGATCAATGAGTTTGTGCGCGGTCATTTCTATGGGTAATTACAATTGGCAGTTTTATACAGTTTTTAAACCTCACTTAAAACGATCCCCAACTTACAGCCACATGGACTTTGATCTGGATAAGACGCTGTACTTCTTCATTGCTGGCCGTTATGAGTTTGGCAATAAAGGCGCCGATATATTCATCGAGGCGCTGGCTCGTTTGAATGCGATGCTGAAGCACGAGCGTCCCGACACCACTGTGGTGGCCTTCCTCATCTTTCCCACCAAGACAAACAACTTTAATGTGGATTCGCTGCGTGGCCATGCAGTGATCAAGCAGTTGCGCGACACCATCAACAATGTGCAGCAGGCGGTGGGCAAGCGCATGTTCGACACATGCGTTAAGGGTCACATACCCAGCCCCGACGAGCTGTTGCAGAAGGATGATCTGGTGAAGATAAAGCGTTGTATGTATGCCATGCAACGTGATTCAATGCCGCCGGTTACCACGCACAACGTGGCTGATGATTGGAACGATCCGGTTCTATCTTCAATCAGGCGCTGTCATTTATTCAATTCGGTTCACGATCGTGTCAAAATGGTCTTTCATCCGGAGTTTTTGACATCGACGAATCCACTGTTCGGCATTGATTACGAGGAATTTGTGCGCGGCTGCCATTTGGGCGTGTTCCCATCTTACTACGAGCCCTGGGGCTATACACCCGCCGAGTGTACCGTCATGGGGATACCAAGTGTGACCACAAATCTGTCGGGCTTCGGTTGTTTCATGCAGGAGCACATCAGCGATCCCAAATCCTATGGCATCTACATTGTTGATCGTCGCTATATTGGTTTGGAGAACAGCGTACAGCAGTTGTCCAGCTTTATGATGGAGTTCTCACGTCTAAATCGCCGCCAACGCATCATTCAGCGCAATCGCACGGAGCGGCTCAGCGATCTGCTTGACTGGCGTACGCTGGGCATTGTAAGTGTAGCTAAAATACCCCTTAAATCGGACAAATATTCATATCTCGTCTCTCTCTCTTTTCTTCTCAGTACTACAGACAGGCTAGGGTGAAGGCCTTGCAGGCCGTCTATCCGGATTATGTGGATGAGAGCTCTGCGTATGGTTCACGCAGCAATTTGATCTTCTCACGCCCACAAAGCGAACCGCCCAGTCCCACATCTTCGCGTAAGTTTAATTAATCATATAAATGGATTAATAAAAAAGAACCCTGTTATAACTTTTATATGTTTCAATTGATTCTTATTCTACAATTTGTATTTATATATTATATATATAATACTTAAAAATATATGTAAGCATATGCTCACAGGTGCGATTATGAACCACAAGTTTCACAATACAATATCGCGATTAATATTAATGATTTAAAATTAGCTAGCCGCTTTATTTAATAGGGATTTCATGATATTTATATAGAGGTAGTCCGGCGGATATGTAATCTTTAAATGACATCATGTGTTTCAATGATTTCTGAATGTCAAATCGCATTCAACTACTGTTAATAGATGCGATTATGAATCACAAGATACGCAATGCTATAATAATAATAATTTCAAGTTAGCTAGCTAGCTGCAGTCGAAAAAAAAATCTAATCTATTTCCTCTCTATTTTACAGGACACACCACACCAGCGCCATCTCTGCATGGCTCTGATGATGAGGACTCGGTTGATGAGGAAACTGAGCTGAAGGAACTGGGCATTAAGTAAACCACACTATCCTGATGTCAGCACTGGCTTTACGAACAACTCATACAGCGCAATATTACCATAAGTTTAGTAATTTTGTTTCACACGTTCAAAGGGCGCACAGTCGAACAGACGACCACGCCCACAAAGAGAAACTATCTACCTACTATGCTACAACTGTTTTCTTAAACCAATTTATACGCTCATACGCAACAGTTAGAACAATTTGAGTATTTTTTGCCAAATGCGACAATTCTATTTAATGTTGTTTAGTCTATAAGCAGATCAAAGTACCAACAACAAAACGAATGTTATTAAAACAAATTAAATTATTATTTACCCAATTACTCAACAATCGGCCACTAATTGACCTTATCAAATTTATCCAAATATATAATTACTAGAATGCGTATTCGCAATTCGTTTGTTGTTTAAGTTTTGTCCCAATCAAAACACTGCAAAATGCAAAGCATAAACAAATGTTGATTATCGGGCAAATATAAAAGTTATACGCACTATGTTGAAATTAGATTAAATATATATCTAAATATATATATATATGACATATGATATATTGAACTATGAAATGAAAAAATTGGCTAAGCCCTTAAGGCTCGTCCCCTTCAATTATGTAACCTCATATAATATACTGCCTCATATTGATTAACCAACGATTGGATACATTGTTCTTTAAACGGTCTTTGCAAAGTATAAAAACCGAGTAAAAAGTTTAAAATAAATTCGAGCAAGTCTTTGTTACAATCATATATAAAACTGTTTGTCCTGACTAAGATTGACCGACTAACTGGTTTGCGATCAAACTGTGAAAAGTAGGAAGCTAAGCTTTTCACTGTCATGGAGATGCACGCAAAGCGGGGTTTTGAAATATTCCACCCGTAGGTGTAAAAAATAGCGGAAAACGTTTGTATGAAACTTTTTTGTTTACCATTCGATTGGCTTCCAGCTTTTTTTCAAAAATCTTCGTTCAAATTCATTTGAGAGGTTCTTTACACTTCAATTACTCTTGGATAAAGAATACGGTTGAAAGGTTATAAGGGTGGAGTTTTATGTTTTGTTTCATGGGCCACAGACCTATGTTTAAAGCACTCCATTAAAAAGAAAATGATTATGTGTTCCAGCGATTATGGAAATTCCATTTCCAAACTTATTTCTTTTATTTATTATCTGAGATCATTATGGACATTACTTTTAAAGGCTCATTTTTCGGCTTCAATATTCCCACCACAAGATCGGCGGAAACCGATACCAACTTTTGTTTTTATTATAATATTGTCTTGAAATGTGTAACGCATAGAAGGAGACATCTCCGACCCCATAAAGTATATATATTCTTGATCAGCATCAACAGCCGAGTCGATATAGCCATGTCCGTCTGTCCGTCTGTCCGTCTGACCGTCTGTCCGTCTGTCTGTTTCTATGCGAGCAAGTCCCTCAGTTTTAGAGCTATCTGAATGAAATTTTGCAGAAGTCCCGCTTTCTGTTGCACGCAGCATATATGTGAAAACCAGCTGGATCGGACCACTATATTATATAGCTGCCATAGGAACGATCGGTCGAAAATTATGTTTTTGTATGAAAAAACATTTTATTTTTCAAGATATCTTGACCAAACTCGGTATTTATTAGTTTTACTATGCTCCTCATATATATGCAAAATCCTATTAAGATTGGATCATATAGCTGCCATAGGAACGATCTGTCGAAAATTAAGTTTTTGTATGAAAAAACATTTTGTTTATCAAGATATCTTGACGAAACTCGGCATTAACTATTTTTCCTGTGCTTCTTAGATACGGGCACAGCACTATAAGCATTATGAAAAGGTTGGGTCTGCAAGGGTATTAGATCTTCGGCGTGCCGAAAATAGCCTTTCTTCCTTGCATTGAATCAGGGAATATAAATTGTGTATTTTGAGCACACTCCACCTCTCAACGAAATTGAGTTAATCATCAGAAAGTCAGATAAGCGATTGGCTTGATATGGTCAAACCCATTTATCTGTATGTTTTAAGCAGTAAACTAAGGGAAATAGAATCAGCGTCAATGATGCATCAGTCCAATTATTCGAAAAGCCTGATTCACAGTCTTAGAAATTTACTCACACATTTTTCCTCTTCAAAACGTAATCTCCCTTTATAGATTATAATACATTGCAGCCGAAGAAAAGATAATGTTGAACAAGGTGTGTTAAGTTGATTTATGTATTTATATTCCTAGCGATTTTAGAAGTCAATCATCGCCATCCGGTCAAATTTTTTTTATTACCTAAGCGCCATGCAATTTTTAATAGTAGTTCTCTTTTCTTGTATTTTATTCTACTTTTTTAACTTCTTAAAATTGAAAAGCGGTTTGGACTCGTTGGCTGTGCAGCTGGAAATCCTAGGGTGGCTGAGGTAGTTGCTTATTTGCCAGTGTGGCGGCTGTATAAAGAACGTATAAACTTGCCATTACTTTGGCGGTGTCGTCGGCGCTGGGCGGGCACATCGTAGCCCGGATCGTAGTCATAGTCCTTTGAGTCATCCTCCAAGTGCGCTGGAGGCGAAGGCTTATGTTTGGGCACTTCGTTACCATTGCCGCCGCTCTTGCAATCTTCCAATTGGCCATCGGCGCCCACACACTTTTCCGATTCCAGCACCCAACCGCTGTCGGTATCGGTGTCATTGTCCAGCTCCTTGTCCTGGGCAGTGTCCTCTTCCTGCTCCTCCTCCTGCTCTGCTTCCTGCTCCTGGCCCTGATCCTCGTACATTGGCGGCGGCTGATAGTTATAGAAAAAGTTTGGATATGGATGGGGCGCATACAAAAGCGGCGAGGGTATCAATAGGGCCCCGTAATTTGCAAAACAGCCGGAGCAGCCGGCTGGCAGCCCGTTCTGCAAGATGTAGCCATAGCTCATTTGCAAGCAATTTTGGCAGCTGCTACGTTTCAAACGAATGCTGTTCGGATTCTGGCCACAGGCAACATAGGGCCAAGCGTTCATGTAATTACAGCGTGGAGCTTGGGATTGCGATTGGGATCGGGCTGGGCTTCGGGTTCGGGCTTGCTTTCGTGGCTTGGACCTGCGTCGGTGAACCGGAACATACTCCACGGTCTCCTGGCACACATCTGGCTGATCCTTCTCGCAGATGACCACACGCTTCGCGTGCATCACCCGCGCTTGGCAACGCTCGCCACAAACCCGATGACGCGAGTGCTCCCTGCAGTGCTCCTTGTGCTCGCAGTCTCGCTCTCGGCGCACCACATAGCAGCACGAGCCCTGCTCATTGTAGCCCAGTCCGAAGCGGCCGCCCACCTGGGAGACATTCTGATGCACCTTGACATTAACCTCGTTGCGGCCCTGAATGTTATTCTTGATAATATTGTTAATCTCGTTTGTCAGCCTTATGATATTCGTGGTGTTCAGGGCTGGCTGTGCCAGTGGCACGTAGCTGGTATCGTTGACACCCTGCACCAGCAGCGGCTCATCCGTAAGCTCCGGGCAGAGAGGGCACTCCGACTCGCACTTGTCCAGCCCGCCACAGATATCCATGCAGCTCTGTCGATTCGCCTGGCACTCCTCGTAATCGCGCAGCGATGGCTGCTCATAGTTCTGCAGCGGCGTATGCAGCACAATCGTATCCCTAATGGTATCGTTGACCTCGCCACTGACCCATGGTCCCAAGGCCAGCAGTACCACACACGCGATAGCGGCAAGCTGAAAAAGGTGCACATTATAAGATAAGAATCAAGCGACATTCCGTCATACCTGCGATGAAATAGCATTATAAATGAATAAGTTGGACACCTACCTCCATTTTCAGAATATTTGGAACAACTGGCTCTGTTCCCTTCGAGTTGTTAGTTGCAAACTCTTTTGTTATACTGCAGCAAAAACTGTGCTTCCAATAACCATGTGGTAATTATTAGCCCATTGATAAGATAGCGCTATCATTTAAATTGATTATGCTCTATTTATCGGTTTCAGAGAGAGATGGAGCGACAGAGAGAGGGAGAGAGAGAGAGAGAGAGAGAGAGAGAGAGAGAGCGAGAGAGTACCATGCGTTAGATCATCAATTAACAGGTTGACCAACAAATGCATCATATATTTATTTTCTTGTATAATTTTAATGTTTTTTTTTTATATTAATATAATATACTCATCTGAATTAAAACTAGGTGATAACCAGTGTCCAGGTCCGAAGTGGCTTGACCTGTCTGACGGATTGTTGACTAATTGGCGATAATTGATCTATGTGCAGGCTTAACAGACAGCTGCAATGATGCTTTTGGTATTTGAGCGTCGGACCGACAAGCGCGAAATTACCGGCTCAAATCCATCATCGTCAAGTTATATTTGTTTACCAAATTCCAATAAGAATTTGGCAGGCCCCACGCAGCGGCAAATAATTTGAGTATTACTTGCTTTTTCAATAGAAGAACATACAAAAGCGAGAGAGAGAGAGAGAGAGAGAGAGCGCGAGAGAGGGGAGAGGAAAAAGCTGCTAGAGAGTAAAGTTGTGAATATATTACTTATAATCAAAACATAACACAAGCCTGTATGTCATACATGAATTCATGAGAATCGCATAGAAGGACGATATTTAAAAATACAAGTTTTATTTTATTTTTTATTATTTGCACAACAAGTGTAAAATAAATCATATTTTCATTTTTAACATTTAAAGCACCTATTGAAGCTGAGCTGGTCACATTGCCTATCGACGCCAGCCATCCTGAGGACGGCAGCCCACAGAGTCGGCGAATTGCGGCGAATCGCAAAATTGTTCTTGATTGTAGTAGGCACAGCTGGGGCTGTTGCAGCGGTAGTCGTAGCAGTAGGGGGAACAGGAGGACATCTGGCCCGAAGCACAGCCGCTGCAGTCATACCTCTCTAGAAGAAATAATGCCAAAAGGAAAAACCATAAGAAACCCTTTGAGACCCAAATCTAAAAGTCAATTCCAGTCACCTGCGACTTGCATGCAGTTGCCCTGCAATTGACAGCCGGCATTCCAGTTGGGCGGCATGCTGAGCATTTGGGCATCGTTGACATGCCAGGTGTTCACACTTGCTGGCCTTATCGCTACCTTAGGCGCTGTACAGAAGTCGCCGCACAGCTGCTGCCTCGGATTATAGCATTGCCAGCGATTACTGTCCGCCGGACAGCGGCAGGTGCGTGGCGCAATCACAGTGCAGCATTTGGTTGGAGTTGATGGCGGAGGTGTTATCTCCTCCGCTTCCTCCACTGCCTCCTCGGATTCCTCCTCGTAGTCCCTGTAATCTGTTGGTAGCGTGAGTGAGGCATTGACTGTCAAATGCTGCACATTATTTAGCACCAAGTCGGGCGTATTCTTCGAGTTCTCGTTGATGATCGTTCGCTGGAGATTAATGGGACTCAACTCAATCGGCTCGGGTAGAGCGCAATTCTGACCCGTCCAGTAAGTGCCCTTGGGGCACCGCGGCTCCACACAACGCCCGTTCGAGTAGACCTTTGAGCCGCAATATACCAGACGGCAGATGTCATTTATAAGGACTGTGCCTCTCGGGCAGATACGCAGCGGAGCAGGCGGCGGTGGGGTCGTTGTCTTTCTGGTTGTCGTCGTTTTCCGGGCTGTTGTGGTTGGTTGAGTGGTTGTAGTAGTTGTAGGAGGTTCATAGGGTCTATTTGTGGTCTCGGGATGAACGGGTGGATACGGAGCTACAGGCTGATTTGGGCAAGGAGCAGGCTGAGGCTGAGCGGGTGGATAGGGTGTTACAGGCTGATTTGGGCAGGGAGCAGGCTGGGACTGAGCGGGTGGATAGGGAGTTACAGGCTGATTTGGACAAGGTGCTGGCTCGAGCTGAACGGGTGGATAGGGTGTTACAGGCTGATTTGGGCAGGGAGCAGGCTGGGACTGAACGGGTGGATAGGGAGTTACAGGCTGATTTGGGCAGGGAGCAGGCTGGGGCTGAGCGGGTGGATAGGGAGTTACGGGCTGATTTGGACAAGGTGCTGGCTGGGGCTGAACGGGTAGATAGGGAGTTACAGGCTGATTTGGACAAGGTGCTGGCTGGAGCTGAACGGGTGGATAGGGTGTTACAGGCTGATTTGGACAAGGTGCTGGCTGGAGCTGAACGGGTGGATAGGGTGTTACAGGCTGATTTGGGCAGGGAGCAGGCTGGGACTGAACGGGTGGATAGGGAGTTACAGGCTGATTTGGGCAGGGAGCAGGCTGGGGCTGAGCGGGTGGATAGGGAGTTACGGGCTGATTTGGACAAGGTTCTGGCTGGGGCTGAGCGGGTGGATAGGGTGTTACAGGCTGATTTGGATAGGGAGCAGGCTGGGACTGAACGAATGGATAGGGAGTTACAGGCGGATTTGGGCAGGGAGCAGGCTGGTTCTGAACTGGTTGATTTGGGCAAGGTGCAGGTTGGGGCTGAACTGGTTGATTTGGACAAAGCGAATTTACGGATTGTGCGTTAGTTGACCCTGACGGAAAAACGTGTACCACAACTCCGTTTGCGCAGACTTGGCCTGGACCTGAATAATGATAAACCATATATACATATATATATTGTGCGAACCTAATAAATAATCACTCACCGCATCCACTTGGAGTCGGAAAAGGCAGCACACAAGCCCCATTCTGAGGAACGTAGGGCGCGTTACAAGAAATCGCTGCTTGCCCGCACGGAGCGTTCACGGTAACTGAAGTCTGGGGACATTGGGCACGGGCGCTGGCTAGAAGAAGAGCCAACAGAGCGCAAGGTAGAAGTAGCACTTGATAGACGAGCATGCCGATTAGAAATGATCTGTGAGCTCTGTTTGTGGCTTGGCCAAACGTTAAAAATGTCGCATTTTACCTAACGCGTGCAGCTTTCCAGCAAAGGTTATCAGGACGGGGCAATTATGTTTCAAGCGCCACAACACAATTTTCGTGAGCTGCAGTCAATTAGTTGCCGTTCGAGCTTGGGACCGGATGGGACAATGTTGACTTCGTACTGGGCGATAGTGTCGATATTCTGCGTAATATGCTCATCTCTGTGTGCCGTGGAAGGTTATCAAGATACTAATGGAGAGGTATAACGGCGTCGATTGCACAATTCGACAGATAATGAATGAAATTTTTATAGTGGATGACATGTCCACAAGGTTATGAGTCCGTCAATGGCCTGTGCTATAGGAAGAGCTTGTGTCAGGAAGGTGAGTTGAATTGCCATTCGATTGGAAAGCTATTTATTTTAACAACAATGCGGATTAGGCTACTTTATGCATACGGATGGCATGTGCTATTCGATAAACCCGAAGCCTTGCCCCGACGTACCCGCACCCACAACCCCGACACCCACAACCCTGGGCCCAACCCAGAGCCCAGCTGCTCCGAGCTTGTGTCCGCAAGGTCAGTTAAATTTTTATTCGATTTTAAAACTTACACTAATATCAAGGTTACCCTAATATTAAGGTTACTTTATGCATACGGACGGCATGTGCTATTTGATAAACCCGGAACCTTGTCCATATGCACCCACTCCTACAACCACGACTACGACCACAACAACCACCACCACCACCACTACCACAGAGGAGCCCACCACTAGCGAGGAACCCACAGAAGAACCCACCACTAGCGAGGAAACCACAGAAGAACCCACCACTACCGAGGAACCTACCTTTGAACCTCCGCCTGTGCCTGAACCTGCTGAACAAGCCCGCTGTCCACCTGGCTCGATATTCTTTGAGGCACAGTGCCGCAAGATTATCTGTTCACAGGGCGAATACCATGCAGGTCGTTGTCTTCTGCCCGCCTGTCCCGCGGGCACAGTGTGGCGCGGAAAGCGCTGCCAGCCGCCAGGCTATTTGACAACCATACTCGAGATCGATAACGTGATCAAGAACAAGCATGAGTATCAAACGGTGACAGAGAACGTGAATCGTGTGGAGTACCAGACCATTAGGCCCTACGATCCGAACGAGGATAGCAGCTATGACAAAGCGAAGCCACCAACGAAATTAACTGTTTCAACCCCAATACCAGCCAGTGTGACCCCGCGGCCGGCGACGGATTGCTGCACGGTGAAGAGCCCGCGTATCTGTCGACCCTATCCACCGACATGGGTATGCTTTAACCGTAGTCAAAAGCTATGCGATCCAAGGATTTGTACCAGCCCAATGATCTATCTGAAGCCACCACGAATTGTGCAGCTGAATGATCCGCCAATGCTGGTGATGCCGCCAAATCCACCATTGTCGGGTTGCATGAATGCCGATTGCCAAGAGAGCGGTAAGTGGAGCTCATAATCAAAGCTTATTAGCTATGTTGTCTGTTTCATTGAATCCATTTGCAGAAATGCTCAACTGCTCTGGATGTGCCCAGGGGCAGCGGGAGAACTGCTCCGCCGCCTGCTATAATTACTTCTGTCCAGACAATAGCTGCGAGTTCAAAAATTCTGAGGAGTTTTGTGCACTATATCCTGGCGGATTTGGGTGCAACAAAAACGACGGATGCGTCTGGAAATGGTGCACCAAGAAATGCCATTAATATTTCATAGATATAGTCGATATAAACTATATATTGGAGTGTATAGCACATTCCCTACTTGTTCGTAAATATATGATATATATATACATCATTCCGGGTAGCAATATTAATTATGATTTTAATTTGTCACTTTTACTTTGCAATTGTCAACTGCCATTGTATAAATAAATTTGAATATACGCGCCTTGGTGTTTATATAAATAGTTGCCACCTGGGGGAAAAAACGCCTCTTTAAGTGTTGAGAAACGACCTAAGCATGGCCGCAGCGCAGCTGTTGGCCTGCACTGTTCAGTCTCATAACCAATCATTTGACAGCACTGTTTTAAAAATCAGCTGGCGCCGTTTTGCCCGTTTCAACGGTGCTTTTGCTCATTTCGGATTCAGTCGTTGCACGAGAGAGCAAGCGTCGACTTGCACATCTTTGGCTCGGGCGCGCGTTTTGTGTACAAAGTGTTTAAACACAAATTTGTTTGTAAATCAAGCAACGAGTGTGTGCGTGTGTGTGCAAATACAAAAACAAAACAAAAATACAAAATAAAGTAACGGTCGTCCTCGCTGTTTCGGGGGCGGCAAGTAGCAAAAGTTCAAATCACAAACCGCCGTTGCACTTTGTTGCCGCTCTCAACGTTGCCTTTTCGGCTGTCGGTGTTTTAATCGTTGTTGTTTTTCGGTGGAGTAAGTGGAGGCGTCGCGCGCGTCCCTCGGAGGTGCCAACAGCAAGAGGTATATTTCCATTAAAACATGTATGTGTGCGTCTGTGTGTGATTTGTTGTGGCCCTGTGTCGCATGTTTTATTAGCGTGTTTGCCACGGCAATCATAAAAACAACAACAATGACAGCTCCGACGACAGCAACAAGCGCAAATGCAATAATATTTAATAAACGAATCCAAATACGCGCCTTCGTTGTGTAAGCATTGTTTATGCCGTCACAACAACAAATATAAATAGCAATTGCGCAAATATACAACAAAATATCTAATTGCATGTACGTATGCACATGCATATATGTACGTATGTATATGTCCATATTATGATGAACAAATGCGGCAAATAAATTCTCGGCTTGCCTTCCTTTTCTCTCTCTCTCTCTCTCTCTCTCCCCTCTCTCTCCCCTCTCTCTCTTCCTCTCTCTCTCCCCTCTCTCTATCTCTATCCGCCTCTCTCTCTCTCTCTCTCTCTATCCCTGTCTCGCTCACTCTTACTCGCTCTTGTGCTAATTGAAAGAAACTACAAACTTCCTGTTTTGGGGAAAGGGTTGTATCTAGCCAAGCCCACCGCCCCCCTGCTACCGCTCAACCAATCAACGTGCATACGTATATATATATATATATATATATATATATATATATATATATGTTATATATGTGTGCATATATGTATAACTGTTGCCTTTGCCGCAGACAACATGAGCTTTATTGCGGCATCCTAACCCAGCCGAGAACCCCTGCCCCGCACATTCCATAAGCAAAGGGCTCTTTGGCTGAGTGGCTGTATGTGTGTGGGTGTGGATGAATTGGAGCTGCATAGAAGTTTTGTGCTTTCTGCTATGTTGGTATTTGCCAGAATGCGGGTGTTGAAGTTTTTAGTGCAACATTTTTTCTATGTTTTGCCTATATTTTTTTTGCTGCTCCAGCGGGAGCTTTCATATTGTACGTGTGTGCTATTATTAAAATGCCACACGCACGCACACATAGAGACAGGGGAACACGGACACGGCAAAAAGAAAAACTATTCTCAGTGTGTGTGTGCGCCTACGAGGCGTTGGCGTTTTGGCTAGAAGAAGCAGCAGCAGCAGCAACAACAAAAGAGAGCGAGAGAGAGAGAGAGAGTGGGAGCGCGAGCCTGGACTAAAAGGGGCAGCTGCAAGAGCGGCGAAATAAGTTAATAAATAAAACAAATAAAGCATAAAAATATAAATCGAAGCAAAAACAAAAACAAGAGAATTTCTCAATAAGAATTTAAACGAATCCCGCGCCCCCACTCCCCCATAATTTAAGCCCTGCACTTGTTAGACATAAACGCGGCCGCACATTTGCCATATGAGACCCGTTAGACCTGCTGTTGTTGTTGTTGCTGTTGTTAGGATTGTAATAAAGCGTTTTACGGCCCTCCTGACTGCCGCCGCCGCTTGTTGTTGTTTTTATGACAGTTAAGCTATTTTGCGTATGACATGTTTGACAGATACCAGCGTCGTCGTCGTCGTCATTCTCATAGTCGCCGCGGCTGTCACCGCCGCTGTTAAATGCAGCCGCTGCCAGCGCCCACTCCTCCCATGCACACACACACACAGCTGACTCTCTCACTCATTTTGTCACCCTTTCTTGTTGTTGCCCGCAAAGTTTGCTTGTGTTCGCTGGCGTTTTAATTTTTGCGTCTATTAGCCACACATACATATGCACATATGCTTTGCCACCACTGTAGTTGGGATTGGAACAACACAAGAGGGGGGGTCCGGGAGTGGGCAGGGGGTTTCGTTCGCAGCTACTTTTACGCATGTTTTCGCACAGCGCCAAAGATGTTGGCTTGACATAAATTGTGTCCGCCAAATGTGGCAAACTACAACAACAAAACTGGGCCACGCCTACAAAAAAAAGGCCATAAGAAACCAACAGCCGCTTGGCTTGTCGCATGTAATTGCTCCCCACAATGTAAATGAAAAAAGCATGATGCACAGTGGTACGAGTACGTGTGTGCCTAGCAATTGTTATTACTCCTGTTGTAAAAAGATAAAAGATTTATTTAAAACATTTTCAACTTTCTTGCTTAAAATTTTAAAGATAAATTTTCCAACTATTTTTCGTTCATGGCAATTTAAAATGTAGCTATTTTTTGTAAATATTTGAAAATGATTTTGAGATCCATAATTTAAATTTTCTTCCCATTTTAATCTCGTGATGAGGAGCTTAAAGCCTAAAAATTATCTATTGTTCAAAAAACCTTTGAGCCCCTTTTTTTCCAAGAGGGGTAAATTTTGCGAAAAGAGTAAGATTCGTATCAAACGATGCCGATGGAATGGTAAATAAAAAACTTTTTTACAACCGCTTTCCTGCAATTTACCACAGTTGCGGGTTGTTTTTCAGAATCGCTGGCACATTCATAAAATTCTTATTTATTCGTATTTAATTAGTTTTAAGCGAATGGGGTTAAGCAAACATTCAACTAATAAATCGTTGACGCCCACTTTTCATCAAAGCGCGTTGAAAAAGTTTCATACAACTTTTTCACAATAAAAATGTCAGCATCAATATTTGATGTACCTATAATAAAATCGATCTGGTGTTGTTTTATTTTTTTTGAGCTCTTTTTATCGTTTCCAATTGATTAATAATAATATTTTGATTAATAAAAGAAATTTGATTAGG